TCCCCAAACTAACTGTGCATTAGAGAAACAATTACTAATATTCTATCTAAAACTGACTTTGATTTCTATGGCAAGGGCATGTTTTGGTCATCTCCTGCTCACCCCATTGTTAAGAGAGGAACCTCTTACCCTATATAATATGACACTATGAACATCCACCCCTGGACAGATGAGGCTGACCAGATACTCACAGCCTGAGACAGGAGGATATAGCATGTCATAGAGTTCTATTCAAGAATAGACTGAGCAGGCAGGGTCTGCAGAGGACAGGCTTTGTAGAAACAAAGTGTTGAGGTGACTTTCATTTTCCATAGGAGGACATAATTGTTTTGTTTGAATAATGTTGAGGGCAGGCAGAGAAGTGAAACTGGCTGGGTGGAGGCCTGGGTAGGGTGTGTCTGGGCTGGCTAGTAGGGGAATGGGCCAGTCTGGGTGAGGAGTATATGTAATGATTGCAGGGAAACATATCTTAGGTCCTCATAGTTCTGTGAGTCTCAGAAATATCAAGGTAGCAAATAAAATATTGAGCCTTACAATACAGGCTTAATATCAGAGAGAAATAAAATATATTTCTGTTTTCTATTAACAAATGTGTGCTGTTTATAGTATTATAAACATAGTATTATAGAATTACAGCATGTGCGAAGCATCATGTATGTTTCTCAATTCAGTTTTGAAAGTCTTACATTGAGTGTAAATCAAGAATCCCATAGTAGGTTGAATGGCAGTCCTCAGATTTGGGTAGAAATGTTGGCTGGGTATTTTTTTAAAAATCTAGAATAAGCTCTTTCAAAGACTGCTAACTAGACAGTTTTAAACTGTTACAAAAATGCTAAGGAAAGTCATGGAAGTGGTAGTTTCATTCACACCAACCAGGCAGCTACACACCTGCATTTGTTGTAAGAGCAGGACAATGAGGACTCTACTGAGCGATGTTACTTAACCTCTCTGTGCCTTCAGACTTTATCTCTCAAATAAATGAATAGTCCAGGTGATTCTACTATTCTTTGGTTTCTAAAATGACTGTGATTACTTAAGATAAGTAGAAATATCTTATTTAGTATCTATTATGATCTAATACTTTGGAGTAATTACTATTTGCACGTCCCCTACTAATCTATGAACTCCTTTCCTTAAGCAACCTGGAAGCTTGTTTTTCTAGTATGTGAAATTTTTAAAAAATAATTTTGAAGGGTGGCGCCTGTGGCTCAAAGGAGTAGGACGCTGGCTCCATATGCCAGAGGTGGTGGCTTCAAACCCAGCCCTGGCCAAAAACTGCAAAAATAATAATAATAATTTTCAAATGAACAAATTAATTGAGCAAGAGATATGAGGGGGGATTCTGAAAAAATGTCAACTATCTTACTAGTGTTCTATGACTTCAACAATGACTAGCTGGTTACTCTGGTAAAGTACGTAAGGAGAGTTCACTGTGAGCAATAACAAATCACGTTGTGAATGACCCACCAGATTTTTCATTTAGCACGTTTTTTTCGCATGTTCCTCTTCACCTAAGCTGAGACGTTTAGTTAGTCCCATTCTAGACCTAAAGTCCTCACTCTGCCTCCTTTTGCAAGGATGCTCCTGATTTCAATCAGGTACAAGAAATGTCAGATGAAAAATGGCACCAATGTGAATTACGACAATAAAAGTTTATAAGCTACTAAAATAAAGTTATAGTACCTAAGAGCTGAGTCAACTGACAATGTTAAATGGAACATTTTACAACCAGTCCTGGGATAATGATTTTTAAAAAATGGCACATGGAACATGAGGAAATATCTGACATGAAGCAGGAACAAGATCAAGCTCAGGATGCGTGATTTTGAATGAGTTACCTGTAACAGGGACAAGAGGAGATAACAACCTCAGGTTTGTGGTGTGTCTCTTCAGTGACCAACCCTGGGCAGTAGTTATCACTTTCACTTCTCACAGCAACTCAGTGGGAGAGGGAGGGATCATAGTCATCATTTCAGACAGGAGATACTGAGGCTCACGTGGCCCAGTTGTCTGGCTATCAACAAAACTCTGAAACAAAAGGCTGCCTGACTCCAAAGTCCATGTTCTTTCTATATATTTTTATCTCAAATGCTGTCTCTTTGCATTGGCAGACAATCTCTATATAAATAAAACAGTTTTAGGTTTTAAGAAGAAACTGTCTTGATGCTGTCAGAATAGGTGATGGCTCTCTTTACCATGGAGCTCACTGCGTCAATTAGCCATACAGAGGTTATTAAATTATATTTAAACAAGGTAAAAATGTGGGACTAGAATGAAAGACCAGCATTAGAAAGCCAAATGCTAAAAATAATATCTAAAAAAGAAGGAATAGAGGAAGATTAGGAAAAGTTTGAATAGGATGATATGACAATATTTGTTTTTTAAATAACCCTGCTCATAAAATGTTATTTGTATGCCAGCAAATTTCTACTACCTGTCTCTAACTTTGCTAATACAACATCCTCCTGTTCTGTCACTTCACACCCTCTACCCGAGTCACAGTGCTTCTCACTGATGCCCACCATGGCATCCCCAATGGGGGTGCTGGTGTTGTCTCCCAGGAGGCTGACATTTGTGCTAATGGCACAATTTCTTGGGAATGTTATGTTTTACCTTTATAGATCTTATAAAATTTATATTCTTCTTTCTCATCTGATTCCATTATAATATAAAGATAGTCTTTCCAGTCTTGCTTATTATGAACCAAATACATGCTCCAGGGTGAAATAATGTCATGTTAATTCTAAATCTCCACATATTCTGTGCAAACTTCTGTTACTATAGTCAGAGAAACACGATGATAAAATGGCCTAATCACATGACATGCAAAGTGCTGATGCGAAGTGAAAAGGACAGAAATACAATGGGAATATTAATCCAAGAGAAAAGGAAAATAGAGTGTTTGACTAGGCTTAGCAGGATGGCTTAGTTCTTCCTGAAAGTAAGTGGGATGTTATCTTACTCTATTTTGGACTCATTCTGAACTTCCTCCATTCAGGAACAATTCAATGAGTAGCTCCTACACACACACACACACGCACAGGACTTCACTCTATCTAATAGACATATAGAGAAACATTCAGTGAATCTCATCTACCCATCTAAACATCAGATGAAGGCATCATGTCAATATAGCAATAAGTTTGCATTAAAATAAAACATGAATAAATAAAGTGGGGAAGTGGAACTTACAAAATCGCTTTAAACTCAGTGTTAATTTCCGTGCACGGGTCCCACACTGTAATGGACGCAGCTAATTTTCATAGCTGATGCGTAATAATGACCATTGGGAAGTTAAATGACAGAAGAGAAGCAGCTTTAAATGGAAATAGTACAATTAATCACAACTGTCAAAGTACGCACTTGCTGACTATCGACCTTGAACAGAGCATTTAATTCAAAGCCCATTCAAAACTATGCCCTATCAAGGCAGAGGGCATGAACCAGTTTCCAGTTTAGGAAGCAACCCATAACCCATTTGCCAAGATGGCACTGCAGATTAATTCTGCTGTTGCACAGACTGACTGGTGTGGTGCCACACCCCTCTTTACCACTCACTGTAGGGGTTGAGCCTATCAAAAGGCAAGGAAATCCCAAAACCTTGTCATTTAAATGTTCAAAGGTGATAGGTTCATGTTCTCATAATGCATAACATTTTTTTCTTTTATTATTATTATTATTTTATTGTTTGGGATTCATTGAGGGTACAAAGAATTAGGTTATAGTGATTGCATCTGTTAGATAACATCCTTCTTCTAATTGTGTCCTGCCCCCAGATGTTCCATACACCATGACCCTTCACCACTTACCTCCTCCCATCTCCCCACTTGCTCATTCCCTCAGCCCAGCCCACCCCCCACCCCACCCCCCGTATTAGTTCATCTACTGCCTTCATATTATAATAGAGTACATTGGATTCTTGCTTCTCCTTTTTTGTGAATTGCATAGCATTTTTTAAAATATTCTACCCATTTAGAGCTAAAATCGTATTGAGTTCTCTCTGTAAAGATAGAGTTTCCCTTGTAAACATTGTGTAATAACATATGTCTATAATATATTTTGGCAATACTAGATGCCATTGCTGTTTTTAATGTATTGCCTAAAAATAAGTGTTGCATATGTACTATGTAATGCATTTTAGGTAGTATTGTATATACTATCTTAAATAATACCTCAAAACCCACTGAAGAAAAGTTGAATGTGTGTGTAGATATAGATAGATAGATGTAGATATAGATACCGAAAAAGAGAGGGGGAAGAGAGAAGACAGAGAAAATTATAGCAAAGATTCAAAGCAAAAGTCAAAACTTAGGAGCAAATTAAAGCAATTACCTTCAATGCTGTATAGTTTCAGATATACTCAGTATGACCTCAGAAGGAAGTTGAGATACTATATTTGTTGTTATTAAATGAAAGAAATTATTTATCAAAAAAAATCTCCATGTCACCAGAGATTGTAATTAATTTGACGAATGATGTCTGTGATATACATAAGGTAACCCTGGATTTATCACAGTTATCAAGATGATATCATGTCTGTTACCTACATGTATTATAGGTATATCCATCTACTAGCCTTACACTTGGCATATGCAACAGACTATTTTATCTTGGAAATTTTTTTCATTCATTCAATATATATATTTGTCAAATCATCCCTGTGTGACAGGCAGGAACAAATAAGACAAACATGGTTCTTACAAATTAATAGCACAATCAGGATGATCTTCACAACCTAGTTCTTCTGACATCACCTATATTATATGGTGCAAATTAAGGGAGTTTTTTTTTTTTTAACCTTCAAAATATTTGGGGTGCTTTGCTTATCATTTTACTATTTACAGAATTAAATGAATTTTGACAATGAGGTTTCGGATGAACTTTTTTGCTTTGTAGATATTACTGAAGCAAATAAAGCTCTATGAATTGTGGAATGATTAAAATATTCACAGAAAGTTAAAACTCTGCAGTTGAATAACAATTACATTTGTTCCGAACAGGCAATTGGTTTCCAAACACATTAAACAAAGGCAATTTAGAAAGCTTCTTCTTCTTCCTGGCATCATTAACACTGTTGAACGTCCTGGGATTCTGGAGTGTTTCACAAAGGTAAGAGTGTGGTAAGATGAACAATTTCTGAGTCCATGAAATATTGGTCTGGGAGCCATCACTGAGCCAATGGGAATTCCATATGCCATGACTGGACAAATTAGCATATTAGAGAAATTTAACGGATTATTCAGAGGAAGAATTTCAATTTAGAATTCACGTTTCCCATCAATCCTTATAATAAAATAGTACCTTACTAAATGCTAAAACATGTTCTAAAACAAGATGTTTTTCTTCACCATATAATACCACTTCAGGGTTAGAAATAATCGTGCTGATAATAAGAATGAATGAAACGTTACTATTAAAAGCAAATATAATTAAACAAATAACTAGGAATCTAATGATGCTTGAGATTTGGATCCCATTCAGGTCTTTAAATCAGCAGTGACCCCTTCAAGGTCAAAAGCGAGCTGTGCAAAATTCCTTAGCTTGTCACTTGAGACCATGCAGTAGCTTAATATGTCTCATCTACTATCCATTGCCAGCCCCCCCCCTTCTTCTCCTTCTCTACCCCCACCACCCTTGGAGTATTCTTGGAGGGCTGTGTGCTTTTGAGAAAATTGCCTAAGTTTTCTGAGCCTCTGTTTTCACATATGCAAAATAAAGACAATAATACCAACCTCCTCTGGGTTTCAGAGAGATGAGTTTTGATAAAGGGCTAATTACAATGTCTGTGACATAGCAGGAACTAAACAGATTTTCATTTTCCTTCTTTCCTTCCATCCATTTATCTCTTTAGTTCTTTAATCACATCTTATCACTTCTCCTGTGCCTAAATAATTATTTGTTCTGTTCGTGTAACAAATCTCTTTTTTAAAACATCAGGTAGTGATAGGTAGTAACATAAACTGGAAGAATGCAGAGTCATTAAGTCAATGAATGTTTAGTGCCATGAATGCTCTTATTCTCATGGAGCTTAAGGCCCCGTGTAAGAAAGGGGATTAAACCTCATGCAAGGCAGAATTTATGGCAATATTAAAATCCTTAATGCCTCCCTTGCTTTTTACATTTCTAACCTTCCAAAGTATCAAATTGATCCTCCATGATATATAGTTTTCCTAAATGCTGGTCTCATTGTTTGATTGAAAATCAAATTAGAGAGTCAGAGAGTATTGCAGAAAGAGCCAATAGGAATTTCCTTGCCTATATGCAAAAATGGATTTGGCAATGAAGCCTGAAGCGGAAGGCAAGGCCTCTGTCTGCTCCATCCACTGCCTCAAAAAATGTAAGTTGGGTCCACCTACCAATTCTCACAAATCTGTGCTCGTATCTCTCAATTTTTACTATGAATCATCCTATGAGGTTTGGCCCTTATCTTTCATAAAGTTGTTTCAAAGGCAGTCCTTAGAGTCAGCCCAGTTGAATCCAGTTCCACAGTTCAGCAAGCTGGTTAACCTTGCTTGCCAAGCCTGTTTCTTGATTTGTAAAATGGAGACAGTGAAGTAACTGCATCTTAAGGTTATCATGAGGATGAATAATTACTCCAAAATATGAGTAATAATGGTCTCATACTTAGCCTCATGCTCCCTTCTTCATCCCTTTTATTCTTATTCTAAATTTATGCTGAGGTGTAGCCAAGATGACCATGACCATGAACCAATCTCAGGTAGAACTAGACTGGAACAAGAAACTATTTGGTCAGGGACTGAGTCATTCATTCAATCTTTTGACCAACCTGCTACACATTGTCCCAGACACTACTAAAATATTGTTGAACCAAGCAAAGTACCAGTGTAAATGGAGTTAACACATAGGGCCCCCAGTTAAAATGTTCAAGTGTGATTCTTTCTCTGTGATCATGGACCACAGAGATTTTTAGGACCAAGTGAGTTCCTATAAAGAAGTGAAAGATGATGATGTAAGGTACAGAGGAGAAGGTAAGAACACAAGTATACAACATGCCAGAGATTGGAGAAACTAAGGGTGGGAAGGAACTGAGTGAAAACAGGGCTTTTTCAGAAATAAATCGGATTCTTACCAATCTCCTTCATCTGCTGTCTACTTTCTTTTCTCCTACATACTTTTTTAGGGAAGGAAAAGAAAGAGGAAGAAACAAAGCAGAAAGGAATAAAATTAATTTTTCACGTGTTAAACACCCTGTGTGTCTTGGGCACCATGCTCCACACACAAGTCAACCATCTTTTTTCTCTACCACCTCCTTGTTACACAGATCTCATCACTCTACTTTATAAATAAGAAATCTAAACTGCAAAGCTAGTTAGTGAACTGACCAAATTCATACACAAGTGCAGATTTGCTTGTCTCCAAAGCGCATGCTCTCATGCTTCTATACTGTGCTGCTTCTAAGTGCCCTAGAAGAGCCCTCTTCCTGCTCCCTGACAATCCCTAACTCTGATGCCTTGGGAGAAGTCTGGGGCCTTCGCTCAGTTGAACTGCACCATGACCACCTGCTGGTCAGAAATCCCACAGGAAAAGAATGGGTGTCACATGTCAGGAGAAAGGAGAGTGTGGAAAATTTGCCCCCAGAGATTAAGTAGCCAGCACCAATGCCATCAGTGCAAAGGCACATGTTGCCTGAGGGACTTGTTGGCCACTGGGATTGGACGGGCCAAGTCAGGAGAGCTAAGCAAAAACAATATGGAACCTGAGGGAGAAGGATCCATGTCTGCAGTGAGGAATGCATGATTCTGATTCATTACTATATTGACTGTTCTTGTCAAACAAAAATGAACAATAAGCATGCAAAGAAAGAAGAGAAAGCACCAGTGTCCACAGGACAGATTATTGAAAAATACTATTTTCAGTACACATCCAATCACAATCCAAGCTTCGTCATGCCCAAAGCTTTATCTGTTCAGAGCCAGTTTTATCTGGCAAATCTATCAAGAATAGGGGAATTCCAACATACTCTTGTCTCCAAAGATAGTGGATTAATTTTGAACCAACATTTACACCACTATAGGAATAGCCCGAGGTCTCCGTTAGCATCCAAGGCAACCCAACCCACTACCAAGCTTATATGCAGGTCATTATGAAACTTTCGAGGGACACAAAATTCAAGAAATGTAAAATCCACGTGGGCGGAAACAAATGAAGCCCTCCCAGCAACACCAATAAACCAAGTAAGTTGAAACTGGGATGGGTGAATCAGAAAGGACACTGCTGACTGTGTTTCTTGGAAGTGAAATCATGTACCAAACTCAGTCTATCTATAAACTTTTGTAGTGAACCACATATTATTGTGATAATAAAATACTAGCATAAGTCCTAGAACCAACCTAATCTCATCAGGGTCACTGAATCATCATCTCAAAACCCTAGCTGAGTACAGTTAGGAAATTACCCACAAATGTCAAACCAGATTTACTTATCACATATACCTCAAAACAAAAACAAGCAAAGAGAAAGCCCCAGCCCCTGCCACTGTCTGTATCGGAGCCCTCCGCAATCAAATCTGAAAGAGTGCAATGGTGACATGTCATACCCAAATTTGGCTCTTTCCATTTAGGGGTGAAGGAATTAGGCAGATAAAATGTCTCTTCCTTGCTGAAAAGGATTAGGTAAATATGTCTACAGTACTTAATATAAATATGTATCCCACATTGGATGCTAAAATAAAAAGTAGGTATAGGTATTTAGGAGGAAGAGGCAGGAGATTTTTGTAACTTAACACTGCTGTCCCTCCAGGACTGTTGATATCATGGCACTTATTTTGTCAAAGGTACCAGTAATCTTTTATGCATAAGCTATAACAATTATTGAAAGTGACATAAATCAGAGACAAATGACCAGGGTTATTCAAGCTATATTCATTCTCTTACGATAGCAGTTATTTTTAGCAACATATTGAGAAGGAAAAGAAGGTAAAATTAGCTTTTAAAACCTTCAGAAATAAAAAACAGATGCCTAACCCTGGAGAAGTCTGTGTATGTGATAAAATTGAACATACAGCCCATATTCATTTGTTCATTCAAAAACTGCATCTCCAACGTCTACTATGTATCAAGCATTGTTCTAAGCACTGTGAAGAGAAGAGTGGATAAAGGAGTCTGAAATTTAATACACTGGAGCTGACTTCAAAGTACTTAAGAAAATCATCTGTCTTCTAAGTCAGTGTGCCATAGAGAGAAAAGGCCAAGGTTCATAATACTTGAGTTCTGGTTCCAAATCCAGGCCAACTATTAACATTATTATTATCATTAACCAGAATAATTGAGTTCTGGTTCCAAATCTTGCAAACTATTAACACTATTTATACGAACCTTAAGCAAGTTATGAAATTTCCCAATCTGTGAAATGGGATGGTTCTATCCCACCCTAATATAGTGACCTATACCTAAAAGATACTCAGGACAGTAGGCTTTTCTGGGGGTGGGGATAGAGTGTGCACATTCTAGAAATATATTCATAGATTCATTTTTTGACAATGGCGTTTTCCACATAGTCTCAGCACTGAATTTGCAAATCCCCAGTGTGTCTGAGAAACCTTTTATGAATCCTGGCTGCCATGAAATCTGTAAAGTCAATAGGCATTCAGGCTTTCCTCAGCCTCTCTGTCAGCATTGAAGGGACAAGGCAGCTTGTGAAAGAGCGCCACCTAAAGGTCCTTATGAGACACCGCGCTATATACTTCATAAAAGGAAAACTCCTTTGTCCTGTTAGAAAGACTGTTCCAGTGAGCAGCGCTCTTAAATAATCATCAGTGTTGTGCCAGTATCTATGAGCCCATCATAAAAGGGAGACAAGCCCAGGGAGAAGCAAATGATTTATCAAGTCATCTACATCTGGTCCTAAGAAAAGCTTTCTTTCTTTCTTTTTTAGATATTGTAATCTAAATCATTTTAATGCCCAGAACATCAGTGGAAGTAATCTTGAAGAAACACTTCTCCTCCATGAAAAGTCTCTGAAATTTTATGGCAGTATCCAGGAATTGTTTTCAAGTATTGATCTTTGGGAGACAGCCCTATGAAACTATGTTTGAGTCTACCTGTCTTCTGAGCACCGTATTCTTTGTTTCCGGGTTTGGTTGAACACTTTATGTGTTTTAGTAAGAGCCCATCTGTATGGGAGTGACTTTATAAATATTATCTGTGTACTTTATTTACAAAGACTAATCATGACCTTTCTGGTAAACCGTTATGCTATCACATTAACACGTCAGGCATTAGAATTTACAAAGTAATTTCAAAATCTTGGTGATTACAGCAAGAAAAACAATGATTTTCTATACACCAACGGTATTTTTAAACTTTCGTGATGGCTCAGCCATGTTCAAAAACAACATACAAGTGTTTTTTTCAGAGTTTTAATGAATCATTAGAACCAAACTAACCGTATGTTAATATTCTTTCTTTCAGTACATTTATTGAGTCCTTATTACATGCCGGGCGTTGTGACGATATACTGTAGAAGTCTGAGTAAATAATAGACATATATACGATTTTGCTACATTTAATCGTGATATTACACCTTCAAGATATGACTGCATTAAAGACATTTCTTCTCAATTAAAAAGCAATTGCACTAAAATAGATGTCCTTAACAAAGAGAGAATGAGAGAATATCCACGTACTGAAAAAAGGTGAAAAATAATGTAAATGATGGAATTATTGGGATTAAAGGAAAGAATACAATGAAGTAAGATAAACTGAGTGCTGTGAGGAAGGTAAGTGACTAAACCACACAGAGATGTTTCGCGGGATTATACAAATGTCATCTTATCGCCTCTGTCACCAATTCAGAGGCATTCAAGAAACCATCTTTTAAAAGAGTTTTTTCCTTTTATAAGCAAAGAAATGTGGAAATTCACTTTTTAAAAAAATCAAATAAAATTAACAACCATACCTTTGTAGCAGTGTTTGTCAAAATTTGGTGCTGAGGACCACCCACTTCCAGTGACTCTTTCTGGCTCCTACATAACCTTTCTTAACTCAAATCTTTTTTCAGTTCGGGGTTTAGGAATTGGTGGTCTTAACAAGCACACCCAAACCATTCTTATGTTCCCTGAAGTTTGAGAGCCACTGCTTTCTAGAACCATTCATGCTGTGGGTTTGTCAGCTGACTGCGAATGATTCTGCAATGAGGCACCTCCCTTGCACATACATAAAATATTTTAGCTCTCTAGAATAAAAGATTTATTCAATTTGATTAGGTACACTATGCATTTTTAATTGCAAAAGAGCAGCTGTAAAGCGCCAGGTGTTTCTCTCTTACTCCAACTATTTTTTGTTTGAAGACAAATGAACAGCCTAGCCCGGACCAGCATCAATTCTTCGCCTGCAACTTTCTGCAGTCCTCCTTTGTTTGCCATTTGTTCCCAGGAAAAACAGAGAGGCCGACCCCTGATATGCCTGAGAAGCTTTCCTCAATGCGAAGGTCAAATGCCAAGTTCGCAATTTGGGTTTAATGAACACCCAAAAGATCAAGAAACCTTGAAACGCCTCACCTCGGAACAAGGTGGGACGCTCTAACAGTCTCTCTCACTGTCAGAAAGCGGGCCGGCTTTATTTTCTTCCCCTCCACCCCCGATTTGCCTTCATCTGGCTCATTCCTACATCATAATAGCAAAAGGTGCTCATTATGCTTTTTTCACTTGTCCTTAGAGATGAAAGATCTACAGAATTATAAAGTTGACCCAAAGCAAACACCAAAGGAGCTCAGCATTCTCACACTGGCGTTGACACTGGTGATGAGCTAAATTGCAGTAACGACACCGGCTTCCATTCGGAACAAGATGCATTCACACAGCAGTTTCTTCTCTAGCGCCTAGCAACATTATCATTGAGCACCTGGAATAGTTTAGGCATTAAGTGTAATTGGTTTTGCTTTACATAAATCTGTAGCTTTGTAAATAAGCGGAGCATTTCAGCTTCTATATAACACCAATTAACTTAAAGGGATGCGTTGTTTGCAGAAGCCTGCTGAGCTCTTTACTGTATTTCTCTGGTAATCCGCTCAGTGGCAGGCAAACTCCTGCGTCCCTGCAGTGTTCCATTGACTCCAGCCATTTGGTGCCAAGGGTCTGTACCCAGCCACTCATTTGCTACATCTTTTCACTGCTGGTGAAAGGTCGGAAAAGTGGAGTCTTCCCTGAGAAGCACCTTCTGTGCTGTTTCCATCCACGATCAGCACCGGAAAGGCAGGGTATTTGAAAATGTTTTCTGTGACCCACAGAACACAGGTCCGACCCCATCTGATTCTGTCCACAACTGACAGTGGTGTCTCTTTCTTCTTTCTTTATTTTCTTGTAACTCTTCAATCCAGTGTAGCCAAAAATTAGTACATTGAGCCCATACACAAAATTAAGAAAGCCAGATTTTTTACTACGTAAGTTTGTAAGTGAAAATGTTTTCATCAGAGTGACTTTTTTACTTTTTTTTTTTTTTTTTGAGACAGAATCTCACTGTGTAACCCCAGTAGAGTGCAGTGGCATCACTGTCATCATAGCTTACAGCAACTTCAGACTTCTGGGTTCAATCAATTCTCCTGTCTCAGCCTCCCAGGTAGCTGGGACTACAGGTGCCCACCATAGCAGCCAGCTAACTGTTTATTTTTAGTAGAGACAGGCCTCACTCTTGCTCAGGCTGGTCTCAAACTCCTAAGCTCAAGTGATCCTCGGGTCTCAGCCTCCCAGATGGCTAGGATTACAGGCATAAGCCACAGCTTCTGGCCAGAGTGACTTTTTAAAATAGTACACAATAACACTTAGAGATCTGCTCCTGGGGGTGGATAAATTTTTCCAAGCTCCTTGGATAATTCTCCTTGTTTTCTCTTTTCTCAGCTGGATCCTTATCACTCATATCCCCTTCAGCTTGTCTTGATTTATATTAACAGCATTCATTTCATCCTAGCCAACCTCTAATTTTCATGGTCTCTGAAGGTGTTTTATCAACTATCAGAATAATGACATCAGCAAATAACAGCTTGTGATTCCAAAAAATTTCCTATTAAAATTTCGTGATTTACAAGTTGAAGGAGAGAAAAGAATCCCTTTTGAAAACTATCAGGATCCCTTCTTTTATGAAAACAAAGCTTCCACACTGGTGCCATGAACCAGACTAGCAACTGGGCATCTACCACCTCCACTGCAAGAGAAGCCAGCATACAGTTACAGGTCACAGGTTTATGACTAAAGCCCCCCAGTAAAATCAGCAGCCAAGCAATGACAGCACACAGGTGCTGCGAAAATTCAGGTCTGCTTGTAGAGAGCAGGGAAATTAAAGGAGCAACTAATAGTAATAACAGTTTACAAGTTGCTAGCACACATATCATCACATCTGATTAGCACTACCATGCTGAGAGGGAGGTATGCTTTAACACGCCCATTTTGTACATGAGGAATGACAACTCTTAAAACATTAAGTGATTTATCAAGAGCCAGAGAGTTAGAGTAGGTGGCATGGATAGAGCTCAAAGTTTGGTCTTCCTGTCTCTAAGGTGCCAGCTTCTTCTACAAACAGCACTCACATGTCACCAAGACTAGATCATCATCAACCACTTGGGCAAAACTGTCTTACATCATCCGAAAGGGAATAAGAGTCAGAGTCAAGATTATGTCAGGGTTAGAAACTGCCCAGATGGTTAACAGAAACAAGCACCTTACTAACATCTCTTCTGGCTCGCTCAGCTCTCCCTCTGGAGCCATCCTGTCCTTGCACCAAATCAACCTGAAGGTGCTACAGTCGATTCCAAACTACTTCACAAAAAAAAGCTATTTGAGAAAAATAAATTGACCCCAACTACTATTAATAGTTGTGAAGACTCCTGTAATACTTGCTAAGTGCAAGACATTGTTCTAAGTTTTTTCTTTTTTTTTTTTTGTATGTTGGTTCATTTCATCATCACAATAACCCTATGAGTTAAGCATGAGGTTATTAAGTATGAAATATCTGATCTCCTTAAGTACTAAGTTTGATATCTCCAACCTTTCACTTTAACAATTCTTGTTTTATTTTTATCATGATGGTATATCCTCATCCTTTCAAACATATGTTTTGGCTTGTGATTCTATTTTAAAAAAAATTTTAGAGCAATTTTTGTAAAACCATTAACAGCGTTCATTTCATCCTAGCCAACCTCTAATTTTCATGGTCTCTGAAGGTGTTTTATCAACTATCAAATTTGTACTATTCTTGATCTGAGTTCCATTGTATAATCAACGCTGTGCATGCAGCTCAAAATATCATTGAAATGTTTGAGAAGGGTGTGGCTAATGAATGCACCATACATCAGTGGTTTGAGAAGTTCCGTTCTAGTGATTTTAATCTTGAAAACCTGAGACCAAGGTGGATAATGATGAGCTGAAAGCTGTAGTGGAAGCAAATCCATCTCAACCTAAACATGAATTAGCAGGAGTTGATGGTACCATTGCAACAATATTCAACCATTTGAGACAAATGGGCAAGGTAAAGAATCTGGATAGATGGGTTCCACATGAATTAAACAAGTGTCAGCAGAGAAATCATCCCCAAGCTTGCCTTTCTTTGCTATCAGGACACCATATTATTACATATGATACAAAGTGATTCTTTTTGACAATTGCAAGCACTTGGCACAATGGCAGAATGGAGTGCCCAAACACAATCCAAAACCACCTATTCACTACAAAGAGCTAATGGTGTCTATGTGGTGGCCCAGCACTGGTATTATCCACTGCAGCTTCATGAAACCTGGTCAATCGATTACAGCAGATGTCTACTGCAGCCATTGGAACAAAATGATGAGGATGCTTGTGATTAAGCAGCCTACACTGGTCAATAAAGACAGACCAATCCTCTTGCAACACAATGCTTGACCACATGTTCCAGAAGCTGAACTTGGAAACTGTCATCCACCATATTCACCAGACCTTGCATCAACTGACCACCACTTCTTTCAGGCTTTGAACATTTCTTGAAGGAAAAATACTCAATTCTCCACAAGCTGTGGAAAGCACCTCCCACGATTTCATCAGCACCTGCTGCCACACTT